CTGACTCCGGCACCTAGTTGTCTTCCTCCCGTTGGATAATTCAAATCGCGCACGTCTTTTTTGATCAAACATATTTATGATTTCATTTGTTATATAATATTACTTTGTTATGTATATTAATGAATGAGCATGTTGGTGTAGTGGTGAGGCGCATGGTTGTGAAGTTGGAGGGCCTGGGTTCGATCCCCAGGCCTTGGTTTTTATTTTCCATTATATGTTTTCTGTAGATCAGGTGTCGAATACGCCCATAAGTGCATCATGCGTCCTCACCTTCAAACAGTTTGATCATCACCAATTCGGATCAAACGGTCGAGATCTAAACCTCCATGATAGATCCTCAAGAGACAGTAACACTAGATTGGGCGCAGAAGATGGGTTGATCTATCATGGGCCTAATCAATTCCAATTTCAATACACCCCTTGGATTGCTTATAACATCAGGCTCATCTCTTTAAATTTTTCCATTCTTTTTTATTTGTTTTTCTTTTAATTTATTATTTTAATTATTTTTACAAAACAAAATCATTTTTTATTAAATCCAAAATCACAAAAAAAATATAAAAATCAGATTTTTTATATATAAATTATTTATTTGCATTTAATTAATTAGTTTAATTAGGTTAACTCAAACATTTTTTATTTAAAATTTAATAGAAATTAGGTTAATTTAATTACTTTTTCCTTCCATAATTAAAATTAAATGGAATTAGGTTTGTTTTTATAATTAAAATTAATTTTTGAAAATGAATTATTTTAATTATTTCAACACTGGTTATTTTGTTAAATAAAATTAATTAGTAAATTAGGTTTAACTTGCAAATTGCAACTATTTTTCTCAATAAAAAATACAAACATATTTTTTTATTAATTAGATTTCTTAGGTTTCTAATTTGTTCCCGTCTTAACTTTCGCGCATTGTTTTTTTCCTTATTTTTATTAATTATTGTAACTGTTCCCAGTTTGTAATAGTTGATTAGGTACTATTTCGCATCTATCCTTTTCCCCCGATTTTTGGTTATGTAATCCCCTCCCCAAGGCCTTGTAATAGCTAGGGTTTTAATTTCTCGCACTTTACTTCTCGCAATTATAAACTGCCTAGATGTATGGATAATAGGCTTGCATGCAAAAGATAAATCAAATTAATACAGTAGAAAACCCTAATTGTACAAAGATAATTAACTGGAAAAAAACACACATGCACATGCTCACTCCTAGGGTTTGCCCCACTTGGTTGCCTCAGAAATAATGGTCGTGTCCCTCGAACGTAGGGGTACCTTAGCAATGACCCACAATTTAAAATCGTCATAAAGATCATAGTCCTTACTTATCCCTCGAGTTGCCTACGAATTGATCTTATGACGATAGCCCCTTCGAAATGCTAAAGTATCCTTACTTGTTGCCTTCAGAGACCATTTCGTCTCTTCGAACGTCCCTTCAAAATTACAACAACGGGGCTACCTACTCTTTAATAGTAGGATAACACTGTCTAAAGGAAACGAAAACAAACAAACTTTTTTCGAGTAGGTAGAAATCTTAAGTACTTGCTGAACATAAAAACTTTTCATACAAACACTTTCCAATACAATTTTCAAAACAACTTCGTCACACTCTTGAGGACCGATACAAGGGTTATCAAGAAGTAAACAAAACTTTTCCAAAGCAAACACACACAAGCAATTTAAAAATGAGCAAGTACCTAAGAGCCCGTGGAAAATCACAGATAGAAAGGGTGCTAACACCTTCCCTTTCTATAATCTACCCCCCCGTACTCAGAAATATCTCGAAAAAAGGTTTTTTCTGTTCATTTTCCTTTTTCTTTGTTGGATGAAATAAAAGTCGGCGGAGACTCTTGCTTACCGCGACATTTGCGAATACAAAATGCAAATCAGTATTAACAGTCGGTTCTGTCACCGTATCACACATAATCATTAGTGAATAACACACATGATCATTAATTAAATCAGATATTCAAAAATTCCAAATGACACTGTTTCATTGGTTGAAGGATGACACGTTGGTCATCTTCAACCTCCAGCCAATCTCAAATCGAGCTTGCTCAAACTGTAAAATTAGAGCACGAGACCGATACCATTCACTTCGTCTGATCAAGACGAAGACAACCACACCTTCGCAAAAAATTTATATAAACTGTAGCTCAAGCAATTTGGAAGGAAAGTTTTGAAAAGGAATTTGAAAATTCAAGGCCAAAACGTGTTTCCAGTTAAAAGAAAGTGTTGCGACTAGAACCAGGGCAATGAGAGCTTCACAATGATATCAAAGTTTGGAAGAATTGATGGAGAAATCTACCTATTGAAGTTCAGTTGCAGAGTTCTGTAAATGGACTTGGTCAGATCAATTCAGAAGGTTTCAAGGCTCAATTCTTCTTTTGTTAGCTTCAGTGAAGATCAAGGAAGGTGAATTGATAGAAAAAATGGATTGAAGAAGGCTTGAACAATGATTTCAAAGTTGCAGAAAAGTGAGTTATGGAGCGAGTTTGGCAGGATGATTTTGGCTGTTCAAGCTTGAGAAAACAAATGAGATAGCTCATGTATTTATAGGAGAGGCAAATGGGATCAAAAGGAAGGGTGAATGATGCAATTTGGATGGAATTCATGTGGGTCTGCATCATGAAGAAAGTGTGACTTCTCTTTTGTCAAAACTCATCCAAAACACGCGTTTTAATGCACTAATCCACTTGGGAAAGTTGGCTAATCATGTTTACACCCAAAACGCATGCTAATTTGAGGGTGAGAAGTTGTAAAATGAAATTCAAATTCTGACTTGCGATGAAACTTCAATTCCAAGTTACCACTTTTGAAACAATGCCATTCTTAGCTCAAGGGGTCTTAAGGCATGGTTCTTGATGCTTTAGAAAGATGAGATTACAAGTTTTGCAATGGAAAAATAATAGAATCAAATGGATGTTTGAGCTGAAAGTTGCAATGAGTCAAAGTTGGGAAAAAGAGGTTGACTTTCCATACTTAGAAATATTTCAAGTTTTTCTTCAAAAGTGACCTATAATATATTGCATCCAAACATGGCCTTCCTCTTAGAGTTTGCTCTTGACCAAAAAAGATGACATGAAATAGACCTCTTGAATGACATTTTGAAACTTGAACCATTCAAAATCTCCAAAAATTGAGAGAGTTATGAATTGTTCAAGTTGGCAAAAAATCATGAAATGACTTATAATCTTTTGTATCCCTAAGGCATCCTCCATCCATTTTCTCACTCTGCATATAAAATAATGAATAAAGTTCACATCCTCAAGATCATTGTGAAAAAAGAGTGGGATCAAGGTGATAAAAATTGACCAAGTTATGATCATTTGAAATCACACATGGGAAGTTAGGGGTTCATCTGGAGGACTTGTAATCTTTCTTCATCGTCAAGTTTCTTCCACATGAAAAATCCTTGAAACTTTTGAAGTGATTTGTTAATAACCCTTTGAAGAGAAGGATGTTTTTAGAATCACTCAAAAATACCAAAATATGAGCAAGATATACTTCTTTGAAGTTCAAAACCCTAGCTCATAGATAAAGAAAATACTTTGAGGAACGTTGACAATTTTAAACAACCTTCTTGTACCAATACTTTTGCCTTGTAGATAGAAGTTGTTGAGGATGATAATGAGAACTCATAGCAATCAAAACCACTTTCATATCTTGAGAATTGAGAGAAATATGCACTCGTGACCAATGAGAACAAGACCTTGTCCAACCATGACAACTTCTTCAATCAACCCCTTGTACTTTTGAATCAATCTTGATAACTTTGAAATGTGGTGAACCAAAATAAACCTTGCCACGCCATTTCTTCCAAAACAACTTCCATGACGAGGTTTGAATTTCTCAAGCTTTATTGACTAGGGCATAGAAATAAACTCATGAACCCATGGATCAACTTGCTAAGCCACATTGCCTTTACTTACATTATTAACAAGTGAGACAAACCAACATTGCATTTTATTAATTAAAAGGAAAGTCAAAACAAAACATGCATGATCACAAAAGAAAAACAAGTCAAGGTGCTTGGTGATTCCTCAAAGAGCAAAGCTAAAGATATGGAGGAGAACCAAAAGCCCTAATGTGATCTTGTTGTGATTGAATCAATATGGTATGATGAAGGGATCTTAGGGACAAAAATTGGGGTACAACAAATTGTATCAAGATACTTATGGAACTACTGATGAGAATGTCCCTGTGTCTGAAACTCCAGAAGTAAGATCTAGTTCTGGATTGAGAAATAAGAGTTTTGAGATGTTTTTAGAAACTGTTGTTGGTAATACTAATTTAAAATCTGATCTTAAATTATATCTTGAGGAACCTCCCTTGGAAGTTCCTCCTAAAGCTAAGTTTGATGTTTTAACATGGTAGATGGAGAATGAAGTCAAGATGAACCTTTAGCATTTCATTTTGGTGAGGATCCTAGTGTCTCTTCTTTGACAACAACAACTTTGTAATATTATTTTGTTGTTTTTTGAAATGTCAATGATGAGATTATTGTGAGGCATCATTAATAAATATAATGTTATTTTGTTGTTTTTTGAAACATAAGTTTCATAACTTATGTTTAAACAAGTTTTATATTTTTTAACGAATTTTACTTTTGAAAGTATAAATTTTATAACTTATGTGAATAATATTTAGAATGTAATGTCAAATGCATATTTTGAATGGATTATTTAAAATGTAATTTTGCATCCGAAATTAAAAAAAAAATTAATTTTTTTCTTTAATTCGGATGGGCCGAGTATCCGAATCGAAAATTACCGGTCCGATCTCAGATCCACATATCCAATAATTAATTTTCCGATCCAGTTTACCCGAAAGTGCTGGTTCGGTTTCGGTCTTAAAAATTATCCATCACTGTTTTAGTCCAATTTTGATTTACCCAATAAAAGTTTCGATCCAACCCTTCTACCCATATCGGACCAGATCATAAACAGCCCTGCATAAGAATAACTCATTCACACTTTCAACTAAAATCCAATCATGTGATTAAACCAACGGTCTATATTCAATTTCTTTATTTTCTTCATTTTCAACCCACAACAAGTCACTATCAAAATTCATTATTCTCAAAAAATTGAAAACCCTCACTTCCCCCCTTTTCTTCTTATCGCCGCCTCTTTTCCGGCACACGTCGTCCCTCTGCAACCAAGACAGAGACAAAGCGATTCATCACTGCAAACAACCGTGACGGAAAACCAAAAGTACAGAATCACAGATCTGAGAAAATTTCAAGTTATAAGGAAAACTCACCTCAGAGCAACAAAATACACACAACAACAACGCAATAACAAAGAAGAAGAAGAGAGAAATCGTTGACGCTATAGAACCACCGCACGCACCATCCGAAACCGCTGCACTACCACCAAGAGCCACCGCACGCACCTTTCGAAACCTCTGCACTACCACCAAGAGCCACCGCACTCACCTTTCGAAACCTCTGCACTACCACCAAGAGCCACCGCACGTCTTTCTCTTTATCGGCAGGAGCACTCTCACTCATTTGTATTCTTTTCAGCGATAAGGTCTTGTTTCAATTTCTCGTATTTTTGTTTTTTTCTCTCACACTAACTCTCTGTTGTACTTTCCTCTTTGTTATCCTGTGTCTTGTGGGTTAAAAATGAAGAAAATAAAGAAACTGAATCTAGACTGTTGATTTAATCACATGTTGTGCTTGTTGGATTCAAAATTGAAAATGGCTTAATCACTCTCACATGTTGTGCTTGTTGGATTCAAAATTGAAAATGGCTTGGTCACTCTCACATGTAATATCCAATTCAAACAAAATATTTATATTGATAGAGTATGTAATTCATAAGTGTGTGGTTGAATATGAATATGATATCCCCTCTTAACCAATAATGTGCGTGTTGATCTTTGCAATTTCATTTCTAACCCATTATTCCTTCATTATTCAGAAATTAAGTTCCTGAGCAGCTAAGATACTTAGATACATAAATGGATAAAGAGGAAGCCCCCAGAAGAATGACCAGGTTTTCAGCATCAACATCAACTTCAAATATTCTACATGCAACAAAAGGAAACAACCTTGAAACACTAACAACCAATGAACTTTTAGTTGGAGGGGACTCCATTAGCCTAGATGATATAATTGCCAATTTTCCTGCTAGAAGTAGCCAAATTCTTGAGATCGCGCGTCTTTTGGGACCGTTGAATTCACCACTACTTCCTTTGTTTATGTATGGAGGTGCTTCTACTGGAAAAACTAGTATCATTCTTCAATTGTTTAGACATCTCAACCGCCCTATTGTTTATTCTAGTTGTAGGACGTGTTATAATCAACGTATTTTGTTCGAGTCTGTTCTAAATCAGTTGCTTCTCCATAGAAAAAATGTTGCCAATTGTTATACAAATGCTAAGCGCTGTGAAAGACCGTCTGATTTTGTCAATTTCCTTCGGGAAGCATTGACAAGTGTTATAAATAATCTGAAGGAGAAATCAAACAAGTTGGTCTCAGGAAATAAAATACACGGGGGAATGGGAAATATAATCTACCTAGTATTTGACAATTTTCATCTTGTTAGAGATTGGGATAAAAGCTCTACTATATTACCCTTGTTGTTTAATCTCTATGATATGCTAAAGATGCCAGAGGTTGGTCTGATTTTCATCAGTGGTACTTCCCCAGATACCTTTTACTCTAACATGGGTTATGTTGAGCCCATCCCCATTTACTTTCCTGATTATACTGAAGGTGATATTCGTCAAATACTATTGAGAAACCAAGCGAACCAGAAGTTGTATTCTTCATTTCTCGAGTAAGGCATTTTTATCCCTAGTATAAGTTTCCATTTTTAACATTAAACGATCTTATATAGTGCTGTCAATTACGAATCATAGATAATATAACATGCTGTTCAAATTCTGCTACACTGCAGTGCTATTGCACCACATTAGCTGCCATTTGACAACACTTTGTTCTACATAGCATATTGCAGAACAATAGCAATTTGTTCACATTCTGGTACACTATAATGCCGTTTTGTAGCCGTCATTTGACAACTAGGATCTCATGTAGTAAATACTTTTGTTTCTTTTCATGCAGCGTAGCTCTGAGACCTTTCTGTAGAATTACTAGGCAGGTTGGTGAATTGTCTAATGCGTTAAAGCCACTATTTGAAAAATATTGCGAACCTTTAAGTGATAAGGGAAAAGGAGTTATCCCTACTGAAGACATGAAGAGGAGGCTATTCAATCATATCAAGCCTCATATTGCCTCATCTCTGAATGATGTATTTAAGGTTTCGTCTCCTGCTTCAAGTAAAGTTAAGGTCGGTAAAGAGACAAAGCATAAGGGGAGTCCTAAGAGATCAGAGAGATTTGAAGAAATCGGTGATCTTGATTTTCATATGTCAACTAGTGCAAAGTATCTTCTTATTTCATCATTTCTTGCCTCCAGAAACCCTGCTACTCTTGATGCTTCACTTTTTGATTCCAAAGGTGGTTCTGATAATCGAAAGCGAAAAAGGAAGTAAGTCTGGTGATTTAAAACCACTTTTTTTTTACCTATTCTGAAAACAGTGTTATATATGATTTTTTGAGACTTCAGTGCTCAGGTTACTGCCTTTAATATTTATGTTATTTGAATGAATCCTGTCTTTGTTTTTTTTTTGTTCTGTTACTAATTTTCATTTTTTTTTTCTGTGAGAAGAATTAATTATTGAAGTTCCAACCTTTGTCTGAATGGTTTCATTATTTCTAAACAATTGTATTGACCATTGGTCATTTATTATTGTTGTCTGATTATTCTTTTTAATGCATAGGGCCTCCGAGAAAGTGCTGGAAAAGAAAGAAATTTTAGAAGAGGAACTACTAATGAAAGGACCTGGAACTTTCCCATTGGAGAGGTTGATAGCCATCTTTCAGTGTATTGTATCTGTTGCAGAAGAGCCATATGATGAAGAGGAGCCAAACAGCAATGAATTAGGAGCTGAATGTAGCAATGGTTCACTGATCTCTGACGTTCTTTTGCAGCTATCCACTCTCTGTAATGCTAATTTTATTTTCAAAGGAAAAAGCTGTCCAATTGAGGGTTCAACTCGGTATCGATCAACTATATCTGAAAACCTGGCCTTAAAGGTAACAACTATGTCTCTCACTCTTAACACTCATAAATTCTCTGTTATTATGGGAATTCAATGCTTAGGATGCATGTATAACAAAGAAGAATGTTTTACTTATTGTTTAAGCAGGTTGCAAGAAGCCTAAAGTTCCCACTGTCAAAATATTTGTACAGAAATTAGTAATCTTTGAAAATTTACAGCTTCAGAGCTTGGTTGTCAAATTTTTGCCTGATAGAACTGTATACAACCTTCATTATTATCTACAGTAGTTAACATAAATGGTTGGAACACTAAGAATGTATGGAAGCAAGCCAACATTTAAATGAATTATTATGACCATTACAATTACAGTTCACTGGATGGATGGAATATGTATTTTATAGGATTTCTTTTATTGTTCCTTGTCTTCAATATTGTCCTCAAGTGTTCGTAATATTGTTGATTGTAAATAGTAAAGATCCTGAAATCACATGGTTTCCCTTAGCCGATAGAATTTGTAATATGGCACAAAACTTGTGTTGGTGTCAAATTTCATATTAACACTTTTGATATTTTTAGAGGATTGTTCAAGGTTTGATAAAAGTTAGGGGTGACAAAATGGATGGATTGGATGGATATGGATTGGATTAATAATAGATGGATTAAAATAATTAATTAATACATTAACAATCCATTAAAACTTCCTTAAAAATATCCAATCCAATCCATTCATTTAGAATAAAATCCATCAAATCCATCCATTAACAACATTTTAATGGATGGATATCCATCTATCTAAAAAAATTAATTTAAATATATCTATTTTTTTTAAATATACTTTGTATTTTTGAATAAATTCAATTTTTTTTGTATTTTCAAAAAAATTCAATATTTGATTTTTTGAAAAAAACTTGATTTTTACGTATTTTCGAATTTTTCGATATTTCTAAAAAATTTGATTTTTCGATTTTTCAAAAAAGCTCAATTTTTTAATTTTTCGAAAAAACTTTATTTTTTCTATTATCTGAAAAAAAATACGATTTTCCAAAAAAACTCGATTTTCAATTTTTCGATAAAATTCAATTTTTTCGATTTTCTGAAGAAAAAAAACTCGAATTTTCGATTTTCCGAGAAAATTCCGTTTTTTGAATTTCCAAAAAATCTCTATTCATCGATTTTTCGAAAAAACTCAATTTTCGATTTTTCTTACAATTCGATTTTCCAAAAAACACGATTTTTCGAAAAAGGTCGATTATCTGATTTTCCCAAAAAAGTTGTTTTTTCGATTTTCCCGAAAAGTTGTTTTTTTTCGATTTTCCAAAAAATCTCGTTTTTTCAAAAGAAACTTGATTTTTCGATTTTTCAAAAAAACACGATTTTTCAATTTTCTATCGGAAAAACTCGATTTTTTAGATTTTCTGAAAAAACTTGTTTTTTCGAACAAACTCGATTTTTTGATTTTTCAGAAAAAATCGATTTTTCGAATAAAAAAACCAGATTTTTCTAATTTTTCGAAAAAACTTGACTTTTAGAAAAATCTCGAATTTTCAATTTTCTAAAAAAAACTCAATCTTTCAAAAAAAAACTCGATTTTTGAAATTCTAAATAATATAGTTTTTTTTATTTAAAAAAATTTTTTTTTTTTAATTAATTTAAAAAAAATAGATTTATTAAATTTAAATAATAATATAAAAATAATCTATTAGATCAATAAAATGTGGTGAATGAACATGAATTTAATCTAATTTATTAATTTACTTCTTATTTAATAGATGAATTGAATGAATTTTTCAGTGAATGGATTAGATGAATTTTATCTTAAAGAATTTAATTGGCACTTCTAATAAAAGTTTTAATAGTTAGAATGAAAAGTTATTGCGGACATATCTTGCTGGTGCTATCCCTTTTGGTTGTTGATTTGTACACTTGCAAAATTTTAACTTGTTCGAGAATAAAGAGCAATTTGTTAAGATATTTGTGCGTAGGAATGTTTTTGGATGCACTGATATCACGTGCATGACAACGGAAGACCTCAAGTACATGTTTAAAAACCAAATAAAATGGCAAAACTTGATAGGTATACTAATGTCTTTCTTTGTTCTTGTTAGAGAGGCCAAATAAAAAATACGGCCAATCAAATTCCTATCTAGATGGCATGAGGTATAGCTACTCAGACATGTATTTTAAGCTTAATTATGCGTTTATATTATTACTAAGTTTTACCGGAGGAAGAAACCTATCAATTTTTGAACTTAGTGTGAATTACTTTTTCCACCCCTTCCACCTTTAGGCACCATCGTGAAAAAGTCAGACGTACATATTTGAGGAGATTTTATCGTGCTACGTCCAAATTCACTTGACACCCTCAAATGAGGCTGCAATTATAGTTATGCCCTCACTTAAAATTATGAGATCTTTCGAGAGTTTATGCACTTATCAGATTTTTTCAAGTATCCAAATTTTTTGGCATTTTTTGTGTGATTGAAGAAATACTAAACTTTTTTGAAAAAACATAACTTTTTGACATTTTAAAAACTATATATATATATATATATATATATATATATATATATATATATATATATATATATATATATATATATATATATATATATATATATATATATATATATATATATATATATATATATATATATATATATATATATATATATATATATATATATATATATATATATATATATATATATATATATATATATATATATATATATATATATATATATATATATATATATATATATATATATAAAATACATTTTAAAAACTTTTTTTAGGTTGACTTCATAACTTCTTTTTTTAGTGTCTAATATGTCTCACATATGTTGATTTTCATACTCTTGCATCTTTATTACAATTTTGTCTTCATTGGTTTGTGACGTGAGAGAGCTGACCATTGGAATTTTAGCTTCACCTAAACTCAATGATTGTTGTCAATAAAACCAACTGCAATAGGTTTGTGTATACTCGAAGCTATGCATATAGCTATCACTATTCATCGACAACGAGACCAATATGACATGTATCTAGAAGAATAGGGTAACCTATATCATGAATAAACATTCACTTCTCACGATTCTGTACACCCAAGCTAGCGACCCACAACGCACTCTGAAATAACCGCCGAAAATCATCTGTGTAAAACAAACAATGAAGTCGTCATCGAACGTTTTTTATCTCGTCGAAGGGAAAGGAAAATATCGAGTAAACCTGAAGAGGGTGAAATCATTGTCTTACGACTAAGAGATCGGGTAAGGGAGTCCATTACGCGAGGGAAAGGTATTAACACCCCTCACGTCCGTGGTATTTCACGAGATCCACTCTTGTTATCTAATCTAAAGGGTGTGTAAAATATGTGTCTAAGGTTTAAGATATAAGGGAATGCATGCAAAGAAAATACGAGAAAAAAAAAGAAGTTTTTACAAAGTTGTGCTCGCTTAGGCCCCGCGACCTAATGTCTATGTATCCCTTTTGAGGAATCAGAGCGCCATAGTTTGGCTCACATGTTTCCGTTTATTTTGTATTTTTTAATTGAACGATGTTAAGTTTCACATTCCACCGCGACTCGACCTTTGGAGACTCACGCGTTTGTAGTAGAAAAGAATTAACATGTTCTTACCTGAAAAGGTTTTAAAAGAAAAAGAAAGTCTGAAGACCAAAAGGTTTGCATTTGTTGCTGTTTTTTACCTTGAAAAAGAATTTAAATTTTGTTAGGGTATTTTATGCACTTGACTAAGAAAAAGGAGTTATAGTTTTAAAGGAATGCCAAAAGAAAAATCTAAACAAAAGGGGATCTCAATCTTACTTGTTATCCTGCTTGTGGACCTAAAGTTTGGATCAAGGAAATTCTACCTAATGTTGGCATATATGGATAAACATTCTAGGGTCTATTTAGCTCAAACTTAATCAAGAATGAACTAAAAGTTCTATGGGGAGCATGTGAACAGATATAAGAAAACAAACATATAAAGCTTGAGGAGTATCCATTCACTCAAGTAGCACACGCCTAACCAAGGTATTATGTCACCAAGGTAAGATACGGGAGAGGGAAAACACCTAACTATGGTATTAAGTCACCAAGCAGGATAAGGAAAATGAGACACCTAACCATGATATCATGTTATCAAGGTATGATGGGGGAATGCTCTGACCATAGATATCATGTTATCAAGGTAGGATGAGGGAATGCCTTGACCATAGATATCAAGTAATCTAGGAAAGGTGAGGTCTTGAGTTTTACTCTTAACCAAGGTACCATGTCACTGAGGCAAAGAGTATAAGGTGGGGGAAGTGTATGCTTAAAGCGACTAAGCACCTAATTAAGATATCAAAAATCGAGGTAGGAGATAGAAGACTATATGAACAAACACGGAGCATTAATGTTGACCAACACGAGCTCAAGACAAAGTGGGGGGGGGGGGGGGGGGGTTGATTGTAGAATTATATTACACTCGACCGACTCGATAATGGGAGAAGCACAACTCCGAAGTAACGGTGCACCACGCGAGCTAAGGATGACACAGACTAGAAATTGCGGGGGTTGATTACGAGCCCTCTCTGCTTGCCTTCTTTGAGGACTTATCAATGGGGAATCGAGAATGGGATGCCTTCTCTGAGATCTTTAGCACAAATATAAAATGTGGAATGCCTACTTCGAGGTAGGTCTTTAAACAATAAAAAACATCGCCTCCTTTGAGGACTTTTCAAGCACAAGCAAAATTGCCTTAAACATGTCTTTAAATAAATTAGAGGGACTCCTAACATAATCCACAAAGGAGGTGCCCGTCATGCATCTCTATTCCTACTTCTCATGGCAAGGAAAACAATAAAGCATGCATCTCTATTCCTTATTCTCATGGCAAGGAAATTGAAATACAATGCGATAATGAGATAGTCAAGAGAGCTCAGATGATACCTAACGGTAAAGGTCCGTTGCCTCTTCAAAGTCACGCAAGCAAAGAGAAAACTCTACCAAATCTGCCTCACATAAGTGATCAAACAAGCCAATCTCTGAGTATTTCACATCTCAAAAGATTGCCTCGATATTCTACAAAATCTTAGCTAAAATGGCAACCAAATGACTAACAATCATAAATGAAATAATAGAAAATTCTAATTAAATTTCTAAAAAGAAATCCTAAAAAATTTCTATTATATTCTACGATTTTTATCGTTTAAAC